GTAACCAGGTGCAGAGGAACGGAGGTGAACGTGATAATGCAGTGACATACAGCTATAATATAAAAGTTAAATAGGCTAACTGTCGACAAAGTGAGTTCGCCGAACTGCACCTTACCAACACACTTGGATTTGCAGCTGTTGCGCCGTACAATTTAGCTGGCCTCTGACAAAAGGCACCTCCCATAGCACTTCCAGCTCCATTAGCAAATGTGCACAACGTCCGATATTTGATCACAGGCTTTCACCCAACGTTTGAGCCCTTCTTTTCGGCCTGTTCCAGCTCTGGTGCGTCCGTAAAAGCTGCTAGTTTCCTACATAGGACCAGCAAATGAGGAAGCCTGAACAGCTGCGCGGCGCCCTGAGAAGCTGCTGTGGACCCTGCAAACGTTTGCAAGGTACTGTTCGTTGCAAAACCTTCATGCTGTAGCCGCCGCACTTCAGTTCCATTGCTCTAATTTATTACGCGGTTAGATCAAGCATTTATTTATTGAACCCCTGCTGACGTTGCTTCAGGCACAGCGTCCCCGCTTCATGGACATGGACTTGCCTGACTCATCTGTGAGGGCAAGGTGCGACTTGCGGCAACTCATTTTTTTGAGGTGAGATGCTTGCTTCTCGAGCTTGTGTATGGATCTTTGAAGCACAAGGGGCTTTGTCGACGGGCTTTCGACGGGCATGTGTTTGTGCAGCGCTCTGCTGCAAGAATATGGGCGTATGCAGCGTTTGAGCGTTATCCCGACAGTTGTGCTTTAGCTGTGTAAGGAGCCTACGAAGGCTGAAAGCTAGGCGGTCTGGCAGGAAAGTACACGTCGTTAGGCGAGACATGACCACTTCGTCCGATGTCCGTGACCTTCCTCGCGACAGAGACGACTGCTCATTGGAGTTGCCCAAGACCTTCCAGATCGACCGCATTCCACCTGGCAACGAGAATCACTGCGTACACCAAATTTCAACTCTCCAAGACCCCAGTGCGACGTTGCGTCGGCGTGAAGCAAGGGCCCCCATTGTCAACGCTTCTAATCAACGCAGTCAAGCTCACATCGTCTTCCGCTGCCGGTGAGTGACGCCGGATGCACGGCGCCCGTACATGTCGTACGTTAGTTAGAACGCGCCTAGATTTCCGGCCGTGAGGCCGTTACACGTCGTATCAAGGTCGGCCATCGTTCTTGGATTCTATGGGTGAAGGCGCGTTGCAAATGGATAGACGAGTTGGTGGCGGAGGGGGATTTCGGTATGAAATTGTTGTACCTTGGTAAGGTGCGGCGTGTAGGGAGTACGGCATGAAGGTCTTTCCCCGTATGTTCACTGCGTGGGTGCCACTTTGTGTCCGTTCGTGATGTAGTGATGTCGTACATACGTTCGGAGCAAAGTTTCTTGCTGTGGGTGTTTCGTGGCGCGGTGTTTTTCTCCTGTCGTGCCGGCAAGCAGCAACAGCGACAACGACAGCAAAAGCACAAAGGCAGCAAACTGCAAAGATAAGGTCAGCAAACTCAGATAGAAGCTGCAAAGCCGGCCGATGGATATTGTTGCGGTGTTCAGTGGCTTGTATTTGTGCGCAATTGTATGTATGTATGTTTGTATGTAGGTGTTCAAATGTGGGTGAAATGTGCTCTCTCGCGCGCGCGTGTGTGTGTGTGCACGCGCACGCATGTTTACGTATGTGTGGGTATGTGTGGGGGTGCTACTGTTTTAATTGTGATGGAATATTCGAAACTGCCCGCGATCCGCCTGTGTGCTTATTAGTATGTTTCTGCATTTTGTGCGCAGCTGCTCATGTTGTTTTGCCGTGCAAAGTCTGTGCTCGTTGCGTCCCCTGCTAGCTGATTAACAGCGTGAGTGTGTGTGTGTGTGTGTATTTCCCCGCCCACCTCCCGCCCGATCCCCCCGCCGGTCTGAGCGAGCCTGGGCGAGGACTTACGTCGGCCGCCTCGCCGCCAGCATCTCGCCGTCTGCCGCCTCGCCGTCGGCCGCTTTTCCGTCTGCCGCCTCATCGCCGGCCGCCTCGCCGTCGGCCGCCTCGCCGTCGGCCGCCTCGCCGTCGGCCGCCTCGCCGTCGGCCGCCTCGCCGTCGGCCGCCTCGCCGTCGGCCGCCTCGCCGTCGGCCGCCTCGCCGTCGGCCGCCTCGCCGTCGGCCGCCTCGCCGTCGGCCGCCTTGCCGTCGGCCGCTTAGCCGTCGGCCGCCTCACCGTCGGCCGCTTTT